TTTCTTTCTTTCTTTTTCTTTTTCTTTCTTTCTCTTTCTTTCTTTCTTTCTTTTTTTTCTTTTCTTTCCTTCTTTTCCTTCCTTCCTTCTTTTTCTTTCTTTCTTCTTTCTTTCTTTTCCTTCCTTCTTCCTTCCTTCCTTCCTCCTTCCTCCCTCCCTCTCCCCTCCCTTTCTTTCTTTCTTTCTTCCTTCCTTTCTTTCTTTCTTTCTTTCTTCTTTCGTTCTTTCTTTCTCTTTCTCTTTCTTCTGATAGATCTGATCCCAAACACTACAAATCACCTCATTGCCTCCTAGGATTTTGGAAAAATTAGAAAGGCCATCAAGGTAAGTCTCCTTTAGAAAAGAAGGTTTGCAAAGAAAAGGGTAACCCACGTAGTGCTGGCAACTATTGTTGCTACGTAGATCAGGATGTGTTTCCTAAGTATTCCTCATCCTGTGAAAAAGAATTATTTCTTTAATCTCTTTTTTATCAACCAGGTTTGGTGCAGATGGTACCTGATGCCATAACCCTAGCAAAGATCCATCGCCATTCTGGACTGATAGGACCATTGAAAGAAAACACAATCAAAAAGTGGTTCAGTCAGCACAACCATTTAAAGGCAGATTATGAAAAGGTTTGTCCTGCTGTGTAGCTAATTTTAAATAATGTACTAAATAAGAATATGCTCTGGATCATTAGCTAATGTGGTTTATGAAAAAGTAAATTAAGTACACCTTGAGTTCTAATTCACTGTCATCAGCTTAGTAATAATGATCCAGTTAAAATCGTATATTAACTAGGTAAAATTTCTGTATTCAGTTTTACTTCCTATAGCTATCTCTTCTGAGATAATGCTCCTTGAAACTATCTCTTTCAAGTTACCTCTGCGTGTCTGTACACAATCTCCAATTTCTATAAATCCCCCTCCTTCCTTTGCAATGCATTTCTTCTGCTGAGCTCTACTTTTCCAGGCCTTACTCTTTCAGTGTTTGCAGAAGGCATAATAGAGTTTTGGTTTTTGTTGTTGTTGTTGTTGTTTTGTTTTGTTTTGTTTTTTTAGTATCTCAGAACTTTACAAAATGTAGCATTTTATTTGACTGCAAACATTTTTTCCCACTTTACTTCATGCTGGCATCTGGCCTGCAGTGTACAGATGTGCAGATTCTGCCCTATACCAGGGTTCCCAGCTAAGGGGATGAGTTGGTTAAAACCAGGCTTTGTTCTACTTGCCAAGGCATGAACTGGTACAACAGGGTCCACCCGGAGGCAGAGGTACCTTTATGCTAATTCACACAAAGATACAATATAGGCTGACATTGAGTTTGCTTGGAACTCTCCAGAGCACTGAAATTTCTTCATCCTAGGAAATGCCTCAGTCCTGAGCAAACTGGGACGATTGGTCACCCAAGTTAGAACAGACCATGATAGAGAGACCCAAGAGTTCATCTATTCCAGACTTCTGTGAGGTTGGAGTAGAACAAAATACAGGTCTTTGGAGGTCAAATAACAAAGATAAGATGATACTGTCTTGAAATCTATTTTTTAGCCATTCCCAAAATTATAGCTTGAGTTTTAACAGATCTCTGGTGTTATATTATTTGAGGTATTTTCACATACATTTGCTCTTCACAACTACCATAAGGGTATCTTTTATTATCTTCACTTTATAAGTGAAAAATCTCTAGAGAGACAAATTAAATGACTTGTTCAGGTACTTGGGATATCGAGAACTAAGACGTATAGTTCAGTGACACAGATTTCCACTTCAGCAGGTCAGCCACACCATTCTAGGAGACCCATTACTGTGGCCCAACCACTCACTCATGGTTACACCATGGTTACAGTCAAAATTGCATCATTGATGAAAATGATGTGTACCCAGGAGAACATTTTGAAAATAAAGAGTAATTTTTGCAAGAAACCTCTGTTTCTTAAAGAAACAGAAGCCAAAATTGACTCAGTAGTAATTTACTTCCACCCACACAGACATTCATTAATATATACTGTACCAAACCATTTTGGGATAGCAACTGGATTACCTATTTATAAAGATAAACATAAAATATTACATATATCTCAATATGGCTTTTTCTGTGTTAAAAATTCAAAGATTCAAAATAGATATTTTAAATTTCTCTGGGGATAGGCAATACTGAAACATTTTGTTCCTTCTTTTACCTTAAAAAAAATCATTCAATATTGTATATTCGAGACATCAAAAAACCACACCAGGAATCCTCTTCAGTAAACTATGAAAATTAGATCCTACTGAGTAAAAGAGATATTTTGCACAATTTCAATGAAAACATCCATTAGGCCAAAGAAGAGGTTGCTTCATGTTCTTCTGTAACCTATCAAGAACCAATCATTTAATCATAATCTTCTCTAACTGAGATGTAGAAGTAGTTCTCGATTATGTAATTTTGCTTTTTATGATAGTTTTTACCATTAGCTCTGATGCTAATGCATTTACTTATTTTGTGTGTGTGTTATCTTTGTGTTATTGTTTTTCAACTGATTAGGCCTTGAGGAACTTTTTCTATTCCTGTGCTGGCTGGTGTGTGGTAACGTTCATCCTGGGAGTCTGTGACCGACATAACGACAATATCATGCTGACAAAGTCAGGCCACATGTTTCATATTGACTTTGGAAAATTCCTAGGTCATGCACAAACATTTGGAGGGATAAAAAGGTCAGTGTGCACATAATGTTTATTACAGTAATTAAGCAATGTCCTAGAGTAATATGTAACATGTAATGGCATAGAAACCCAGCAGATGACTTGCTCCCTGTCTCCCCCCAGATGACATAAACTTGTTTATATATCTAATAAGATTGAAGGAAATATTTTTTCAATAGATTGTTAATGGAACAAATTAGGTTTCCTCAAATTGTTAGTGGACTTCTCCCCTGGGATACTAATCCTGTTCCAGGCTGAATTGTCTGAAATATAATATTTTCATTTTCTTATAAACCTTGAATGGACAATAAGGCATGAATTCACGGTCTCAATACATCTGGTATATTGCCCATGGCAGTCACCACCCCTGGTCTACGTATCATAAAACTAGCACATTTCCTACACTGAAATAGCCTTGAATCATTCCAAAAATACCTAGTGAGCAACTACCATTAAAGGCTCTGAGGATATAACAGTAAACAAAGCAGACACAAACCCTAATCTCTTTCTAGTAGAGATGACACACATTAAACAAGTTAGCATGCAAAGAAATAATATGAGGAAATAGGAGTTTAATTTATTAATAAGAAACTGAAGCAAAGAAATGGGATAGAGGGTGACTGGAGCAGGGATGCTATTTTTAAAAAAGCCTCTAGGAAGAGATGAGAGACACTGTATAATTAATGATCCACCTGGTGGAAATCCATGAGAATTGTATCCTAAGAAGAGAGAACGGCAAAAATAACAGTCATGCACATGGAAATAAGCCTAGTATGTTCCAATGACAAGAAGGCCTAGGGCCTAGAGGTGGATGGAGAGGGGCAGGTGATAGGAGGTTAAGGTGAAGATTTCAGTGGAGGCCAGATCAAGTAGGGCACTGAGGACATGGTATGGATGTTGGCTTTTATTTTAGGTTCAGGGGCAAGCCATTGATGGATTTCAGTGGATTTCAAAACTCTTTCCAGCTGTCCTGTGAAGTAATGAGACCAGTTATTGTTCCATTAACAATCTATTGAAAAAATATTTCCTTCAATCTTATCCTACAATGATTAAGGCAAGACCTTAATGGAAAAGAAGTGGTAAAAACGGACAGATTGAGAATATATTTTGGAGTCAGAGTCATAGAGCCTGCTAATTGATTGGACACTGGCCATGATTAATGGCTGGGGGAGGGGCTTAGCAGGTAGGAGAAGAAAGGAAAACATTCAAGGATGACTCCTGGATTTTTGGTCTTAACAAATAATTATATCATTTACTGAACCCCCCAAAAACTGATGGCTGAATAAGTTTTTGTTTTCTTTTATTTGAATTGGGGCAAGGAAACCCAAAGTTTAAGACTAAAAGTCCCTTGCTTTAAAAAGATACTTCACCTGAAAGTAGAAATGGAATCAAACCATTCTAAAGAGTAATCAGTCACTTTTAGCTAAAAGCAGCTCCCCCAAAGAAGAAATAATGTCTCCTCCAATATAGCATGATGAACTTTCATTAGATGGCCATTATCTGGTATTAAAATGCAAGCATAAACTACATAATATGATCTTCCCTATTTTGTAGAGACATACAAATGGAATCATTTCACTTGTTATTCTTTTCAATATATTGCCTTCTATGCTAACTACATTGAGAAAATTCACCACATCTGCGTTCATTCCTTAAAAATCTACTGAGGATGATCTGTGTGCCAAGGACTGTAATAAACCTTGGGGACACAAAGGTTAATAGTCCACATTTACCACCTCAATGGGGCTTGCTGTTTCTTAGAATACTGGAAGACAAAAACATAAATAATCCCCATAAAATGTGGACAGGGCAGATAGGGAGTTGTACGGACTATTAGAACATCCATAGAGGCAGGATACCTAGTTTATGAAAGACAAATGTTAATTAACATACATGAGCATATACATAATTTACTCACATAACATGCTTTCCCTAGAATCCACTCTTTCCCAGAAATTTAAAGATTAAATTATAATTTTGACATCTTTATTTATTTCGCTGTATGATCTACTGGAAACTTGGGTTAACCCTTATTTATTTAACCAGCAACAGTGTTGACCATAGGGTTAAAAAAGGAATAAAAATATTTCAGTCCCACAGAAAAAGTTCAGGGAAACTTAAAAAGTAAAGACTAAGTTACTAAACAATATAGTAAATGCTGTAATGGAATATGTACCAGGGTCTATAGAAAAGGTGGAGCCAAATTTGCTGGTTTATTAATATTACAACAGCTACTGCTGCTTCTACATTTGGCAGTTTTTTTGACATATAGTATTATATTAGTTTCAGGTGTACAACATAGTGATTCAGCAATTCTATATATTACAAAATACCACAAGTGTAGTCACCATCTGTCACCACACAGTTATTACAATATTATTAACTATATTCCCTATGCTATGCATTTCATCCCTGTGACTTATTTATTTTATAACTGGAAGTTTGTACCTATTAATCCCTTTCATCTATTTTGCTACCTCCTACTTCCCTCGCTTGTGGCAACTACCAGTTCTGGGTACTTATGAGTTTGTCTCTGTTATTTGTTTGTTTGTTGTGTTTTGTTTTTCAGATTCCACATGTAAGTGAAATCATATGGTATTTGTCTTTCTCTGTCTGATTTATTTCACCTAACATGATATTCTCTGGAACCATTCATGTTGTCATGAATGGCAAGACTTCATTCTTTTTCATGGCTGAGTAATATTCCATTGTGTATATATGCCACATCTCCATCCATTCATCTACTGATGGACATAAACATAGGGGTGCATATATTTTTTCAAATTAATGTTTTCATTTTTTTCATGTAAATTACTGGATTGTATGGTACTTCTGTTTTTAATTTTTTGAGGAACCTCCATGCTACTTTCCATAGAGACTGTACCCAATTTACATTCCTACCAACTGCACAAGAGTTTTGTTTTCTCCACATCCTCACCAACATTTGTTTTTTCTTGCTTTTTGGTACTAGCCATTCTAACAGCTATAAGGTGGTATCTCATTGCGGTTTTGATTTGCATTTCCCTGATGATCTATGATATTCAGCATCTTTACATATATCTGTTGGCTGTTTGTATGTCTTATTTGGAAAAATGTCTATTCGGGTCCTCTTTTGGCAATTTTAAATCTTTTTTGTGCAATGTCTGAGATACATGAAAATGTACCCAGCACAGATTTTCACTCATTAATATTGCTTATCAGGTAATAAACCATTCATAGGGAATCATTCAATCGTTCAATAATTCAATAATTATTGATTGGATCAACAAAAATGAAGTTGGCACTATCTTCCTTTGAGATTATTGATTATTGTTCACAAGTTAAGGGTGCCAACTGCAGCACTATCATACATTTGGATTATTGTTTGCAAGATTTTATCTCCATGAGTGGCTATGTAAGACTCATTAGCAATGTCTCCTTGGATTTCTGTCTTAAAACTGATACTTCTGCCCTGAGTTTAAAAGTTAAACTGAACTATTCCTACTCATTATTACTCCTATATCTTTTGAATTGTATTCTAATAATTTTCTTCCAAGTCTCTTTGGCTGTTTCAAGAGTTCATTTGTATGTTGTTTCATAAGATAACTGACTTCTTCTGTCCTAGGACAATTGGTTGTTCTTATTGGTTGCTAGGTTGACAATAGGCTTCTTATAAATCAAACCTCTGTATCCCCCTATGACACATGAACATTCCTATTTATACTACATTTTTTACATTATAGACCTGATCTTTAGAGAAAAGCCTAGCTTCACCTAACTTCTTCTAAACACATACTACACACATTAATAACCGGCTCATAAAGTACAAAGCCAGGTATGTAAATCATGCCCTAGGACAATGCTAATCTCTCACAGTCTAGCAAAGCCATATAATGCTTTAGTAATAGCCAGTAATAACCTAGGATCATACTCCTTAACATAAAATGCTGCACCCACTGAGACAAGAAAATACATGTATCCCAGACACATGTGTTTATACTCCTATCTACTCCTTAAAAACATAGAGGAGGAAAGTATTTGTATAACTTTTTAGGTTACTAACTTTTAAGGATCACTAACACATATCAGCTAATTTCACTTCATAATACACTTGCCTAAATTATTGCTCAACTGCACATATAGAGTAGTAGTTTCCAGTTGTGGATGGTTTATGGGTTGGCAACAAAGAAATCATGTACATACATAAGACCCCCTCTGAGTTGTAGATATATCCTTTAGCCAAGGAAACAGAATTTAATAATGGAAATTAGCAGACCAACAGAGCAGAACCAGATGTAGTGTGTCTGGGAATAGATTTTCCTTTGATCTTTGGTTTCCTTAAAAGCAAGAGCAATGATGTGATGTTTTCCTTACAAGCAGGATCTTGAGAAAGAAACTGATTTCTTGCTGGGCCATTGCCCTTTTATATTCATGTTTACATCATCATTCCAGAACATCTCACACTAAACATTTATGTGATTCTGTTTAGAAAATATCCATAGATACTGGCTCTCCTGATTCTTGGATTATATTGAGTTAGCCCAGCAACACTCTCATTTGAAATTCTTGCCCAGGTGTCCCTGAACCATTCCTCTGAATTCATTTTCCCAGAAATCTGGAAAGCCCATGCTTGGACCAAATTGGAACCTCCTGTAGACTTTCTAACTTTGAAGAAAGAAAAAGAAATGTCATCTCAGTTATGAATATGAAGGATTTCAGATCCTATATATAAACAAACAATCCTTCCTTATTGGTTTTAATTAAGAGATTAGATAAAGAGAATTTATACCAATGGATTAAATCACAGGGCAATTCAGCCCTAGCATTCCTTAATGATTCTGGGGAAAATTTGGCTAACCCTTACAATGGAAACAATGAAGAATTTCACTAACTTTCTGAAGCCAATTGGTTTTTCTTTTGCAATATTGCTTAATTATTATCTTCTTTCTTTATTTTCTCTCACAAAGATTCAAATTAAAGTGGTTAACAAATTATGCATCCACAATTTTTCACTCAAATTTCCTCTGTAACAA